TCACACACACCATATATATACATTACGCACACACATACACACGCATATATATATATACATATTAATATATATATATATTTATATACATAAATATACATGTATATATATATATATATATATTATATATATATATATACATACATATACATATACATATACATACATATATATATACATATACATACATATATATATATATAAATATACATATTCATATTCATACAATTAAGGACACGTGTATATAGAGATAGACACAAAATTTGATACGTAATACGTCTGCATTTCGGCTTACTTGCACAGTTCTAGATGCATTTACATATTCATTTGCAAGGTCTCCTATCACTGTTGCATGTGTATATACGACCTATGCATGAAGGATTTTGGCCACTTATACACATGAATACATAATTATACATACACATACGTATACGCATGACATATACTGTCTAGTTCAGAAGGCTTTGCAGACTCGCACATAAAAGAAGTCTACCATACACACGTACATATAATATACATATACACATTGCAAACATCAAATTGTTGATATATAGCCTCCTAAAGTGAAAAAGTTGACGTTGTTCTTCCTTTTTAGTGTAACTGTAAGTTGCCTATTCTGACTTTTAGGTATATTTACTACTACAAAAAATAATTATGCAACAGCGCTGTTTTATCTAAAATATACACGAGTTGTGGTTCTTTTTCAGAAGTTCAAATAGTATTCGTGACATATTTATCCTGTTTGATTAATGATTTGTCTCTCTCTCTAGCTCAGGCAGGTCTCTCTCTCTCTCTCAGCCACTCCGCTCTCTCCTCTACGCGAGAGAAGAAGGCTAAAGCGGAGGATATACATAATTTAAAATGTACAGTTTGTCAAATGAATAATTAAATAGGCGTGTAAATACTAAATACTCGTACATATTTAGTATTTGCATCTATTCGTGGCTATATTTGCCATAATTTCCAAATATGGTAACTTTTCATATCCTCAACCGTTATGTGGTTCACAATAAGAAAGGAATAGTCCAGAAGTTGGGGTTCGTGGGGATAAAAGGATCTATTTATTATTCCGTGGAATCCGTACCTTCAAATGAATTAGAGCTTTCAAACACAAAGCTTCTACTGTATTGCATTCATTCAACAAAGCTTATTTTTATACAACTGACACAACGCAGGCATTCATAATTTACCCTTCACAGTAAACGCAAATAGTACATTGAGATTGTAGGTTGAGTGTAATATGGCGGAGAAGGACTCAGCTGTAGACCTGGAGGAGAAGGGAGATCTTGAAGGCGATGACTACTCGACTTCTATCCATCATCAGGGTTGACTACCAAGGAAGCCGAAAAGTTGCTTTCACAGTGGGGTCGAAATGAGTTAGTTGAAGAGACCATCCCTTCTTGGAAGGTGTTCTTGCAGCAGTTATACGCACCTATGCCTATCATGATTTGGGTGGCCATCATTATTGAGGCAGCCATCCAGAATTGGCCCGATATGGGAGTGTTGCTTGCTATCCAATTCATCAACGCGACAATTGGCTGCTACGAAATTACGAAAGCCGGAAATGCTATTGCCGCTCTTAAGGCTTCGTTGAAGCCTATGGCTACTGTTAAGCGTGATGATAAATGGCATAACATTGATGCTGGTATTGTTGTGCCCGGTGATCTAGCGCTACTGGGTGCTGGTTCTGCCATTCCTGCCGATCGTGCTATCAACAAAGGACGTTTTGAAGTTGATCAGTCCGCTCTTACTGGAGAATCGTTTCCCGTAAGGACGGTGATCAGCCTAAAATGGGGTCTACTGCTGTATGTGGTGAGGTCGAGGCCACCGTTTGTGCCACTGGAATGCACACTTTCTTTGGAAAAACCGCTGCTATGCTGAACACTGGTAACGAGTTGGGAAGTTTGCAGAAGATTCTACTGCGACTCATGGTTATCCTTGTCGGTCTGTCCGTTACCTTGTGCGTCACTTCCTTCATCTTTTTGATGGTGAGTGGAATTGACTTCAAGGAGTCCATCTCGTTCACTGTGGTTGTGCTGGTTGCCTCCACCCCCATCGCCATTGAGATTGTGACTACGGCAACACTTGCCATTGGTTCTCGCGCCCTGTCCGAGCACGGAGCAATTGTATCCAATCTTCAAGCTATCGAAGGAATGGCTGGTATGAATATCCTGTGTTCTGACAAGACAGGTACTCTGACACTCAACAAAATGATGATTCAGGATGATTGTCTTACTTACTCTCCTGATCAGAATCAGTACACTGTGCTACAAGCCGCTGCCCTCGCTGCTAAATGGAAGGAGCCTCCTCGTGATGCGCTTGACACACAAACGCTTGGTTCCGCCGATCTAGATAGTCTAAGTCAGTACGAGCAGATTGATTTCCTACCATTTGATCCATCTATTAAAAGAACTGAAGGTACCCTCAAGGGCCCTGACGGCAAGGTGTTCAAGACCACCAAGGGTGCTCCTCAAATTATTGCTAAGTTGCTCAGCGACAAGGTTGCAGAGAAAGTGAACAAACTCGCATCCCGCGGTATTCGTGCATTGGCTGTGGCCAAGACCAAGGAGGGTAGTGACGAGTGGATGATTTTGGGTATTCTTACCTTCCTGGACCCTCCCCGTCCCGATACCAAGGAGACGATAGAGCGTGCTATGGAGCTCGGTGTTGACGTCAAAATGATAACAGGAGATCACGGTGTCATCGCTAAGGAAACCTGTCGCCAGTTGGGTATGGGTACCAATGTGCAAGGCATAGATGGTATTCCCCCACTAGATGAGAATGGCGATCCACTAAAGGATCTAGGAAAGATTCTTGGCGATCGTATCCTAGAAGCTGATGGTTTTGCTGAGGTTTTTCCCGAGCACAAGTTTTTGCTTGTCGAGGCTTTCCGTCAGCAAGGTTTTGCTACTGGCATGACTGGTGATGGTGTTAACGATGCTCCCGCTCTAAAGCGTGCTGATATTGGTATTGCTGTAGCTGGTGCCACCGATGCTGTTCGTGCCGCTGCCGATATTGTGTTGACTGGCGAGGGTCTCAGTGTAGTGATCACGGCCATTATCATGGCCCGTCAGATCTTTAAGCGTATCCAAGCCTTCATCAACTATCGTATTGCCACTACGCTTCAGCTGCTCTTCTTCTTCTGGATTGAAGTGTTAGTTTTCCGACCTGATGACTACACGCCCAGTGCTGAGGATCTTACAGCTGGTGGCGGTGATCCGACTGTGTAGAGGAATGGCCATTCTACTTCCAGGTTCCCGTACTGCTACTTTTGCTTATCACCGTGTTAAACGATGGTACTTTGATTTCCATCAGTTATGATAAGGCAATCCCTAACAAACGTCCCGATAAGTGGAACCTTAAGGTGTTGTGAACTATGTCCATAGTGCTGGGTAGTGTTGCATGTGGTTCATCGTTGCTCTTGTTGTGGATGATGCTAGATTCCTGGAATCTAAGTGGTGTCATACAGTCGGTCGGTCTTCCTGGGTTGTACTACGGGCAGATTACCATGTCCATGTACATGAAGATTTCAGTTCCCGATTCCTTGACGCTGTTCTCGTCACGTACCGACCCTGGTCCATTCTGGTCGCAAGCTCCTGGTATGGCCCTGCTTTGTGGTGCGTCAGCTTCACTGCTACTGTCTACCCTATTAGCCTGTCTACTACCTAACGGAGAAATGGACGAAGTACCAATTGAAGGTCTTGTTCGTTCCAAGATCAAGTGGTGGCCATTGCTAGTTTGGGCGTATTGTGTAGTATTCTGGTTCATCCAGGATGCCTGCAAGGTGTTCGGATACTACATTTTGTACAAATTTGATATCTTCGGCTCCGTGTCTGGTGCCGCTATCAACATGAAGCATGCGAACACCGTAGGAGAAATGTCGCAAGCCCGTAAAAGTGTCGCCGTGGTCGAGAACAAGTTGTTTATTCGCAAAATCGATCACGCAATTGAGGAGATCGAGAAAGCTAAGAAGAGTGATCCCTTGCAGGCTGGAGGCTTGGGACCCACTTCTTGGTGAGCTTAAACAGATGCGACAGGATATCAATCAACTCGCTCTACAACCAAAGGCTGCCGCCGCAGCTCGATCTTCTGTTGCTCGACGTGCTTCTCAGTTCACTCAGAAAGAAGGTACATCTGGGCTAAACAGTGCTCGTACTTCAACTGTTGCCAGGCATTCGATCGCAGCGCGAGCCAGTGCCACGGAAGTACGAGTGTCTGTGAGCTAATTAGATGGTTCGTCAGCATTCATCATGGACGACAACACATCAGGTATGGTTGCTGGTATCCGCCAAAACTTGATCAATATTTCTGATAAGAATGTTGCGAGAGCTGTTGAGCAAGCATTAGAAGCCGCGGAACAGGCGGCTGTCAACGTGCATGATGTTGTAGACACTGCCAACAACACCACCACATAATCTCAACTAGTTAAGGTAGAGGTTCGTATCTGTCACTGTGCTAGTGTCTAGCTACAAAACTTGGGCTAAATCAATAGGTAGGAGGTTGTCGTGCTTTAAACGCATCGAATATACATAGTAATAGCTTATACATATATGAAAAGCAATTAAAAACAGTAAAATCAACAATGGTTCGTTTGTTTTATATCTGCGCTTGTCTGTCTGTCGCTTGTGATCCTTGCGTTTCGAAATCTTGTCAATCAATAGATACTAGCAGCAGCAGTTGGAAAGACAAGCAGTCTAAAAGTCAGGTTTAATTTGGTTCGCTATACACTTAAGATGCACTTATTTCTAAACGCACCACGAGCGGTACTACTACAAACGGTGACTACATTCAATTGTTTATTACATCCAATTACTTATCGCCTAACTAGGGTTATATGGAAATGTGTGCTTGAGATATCAAGCAGATATTTAATCTCACTCTCTCTCTCGTAACTTAACATAAACGTACAAGAGAGCGGCAAGAATTGTGTCCTATATATAGCAACCTATAATAATAGCTTTACCTGCCAATGGAAGGAGTAGCATGATTGTAATCAGGCATATGCAAACAAGGGTCACAACACGTACATGTACACTACGAACGAGATTATCATGCGGTATCTCAAACCATTTCTGACTGGTTTATGTTGGACTGTATGAGGACGAGTGGTATCGCATGAGAAGTGGAAAAATCTCACATCCTATTCAACAATACGTAATCTTAGGTGGACCAGACGTATTCGGACGTGAATGAGATCTGAATGCAGATCACACGCGAGACGCTACAAATTTCTGCTTGAATAAGAATTCGTGTTGCGAGCAAACATTCCTATTTTGTGTACGAAAGTGAAGTCATTAGTGTGAACGGCACTGATAAAAGTGTATGTATTTAGACGTATTCTCACGAGTTTGGACCAAATTATGCATATGAACGTCACCTCGTGAATTTGACCTTCGATTGGAAGTAATTTTCAAGGCAAGTGCCCTTGGAACATGTTTTCACGTGTCAACCGCTAGGTGTGAAACCGCACTCTTTTCTAACGATCCAAATACTCAAAAAGAATCAAGATATAAATATCGAAAGTGGAAACAGTTCGCTCTCGATCGAAAGCACTCCTGTGTTGTGATGAATTTATAAATGACTCAGTATGTCTAATACATGGAAGTGAGCGTACAATGTGCATTGAGATCCAGCAACTACGACAATGTGCTAAATAAGATAGCATGGTTCTCTTCATGTGCAATATTTATTCCTCAACTATGATCTCAATCCCTCAATGGTAACACCAATGTACATATCGGATAAGTACAGCGCTACTTCGCTGCAACGACAAAGTTTGTAAAACAATGATCTTCAGATCCAGTCTCATCGACATGTCCTCGCGATGCCGCCAAGATACAGATACACTATGCTTGCAATATATGATGGCTAAAACCAGCTAAGTCGTTTCTGTTTGCCATGTATGAAACAGGCGATGCCATTCGGTCATAGGTCTTAACTATACCTTCTCCTAATCATTGCTCCAAGCTTTAGGCCTTGGGCTGAGCGGCAAAGATCTCTACGGCCCTCTTCGCAATAAAATCGGCCACCTCCGTAGTCGTGGCAGTGCCACCCAAATCGGGCGTCAAAGTGCCGGCATGCATAGCTGTAGCAATTACAAACAGAAAAGTAAACCTACAAGCCTCAAAATTATAACTGATAGCCCCCGTCCGCCCAAGTTCTAAAGTTTTGTGGTGATGTACTTCGACCTAGGAAGTGCACACGTGAATCATATTCTTTAAGAGCGCTTTACGAGGACCTCAAAATTGTCCACTAAATACAAAGTCACGTTGATTGATAGCTACCAGTTAATAGTTTGAAGTTGATAATTTGTCAACACACATTTGCTTTCAATATTATTCATAAGAGTGTATTCTTAAACAAATTCGTTCTCCGCACGACTCATAGGTACTTAATAGGCTTTTCGGCGAATGCACTATAAAACATATACGTCACTAACCTTCCTGGATGGCTTCTTCGATCGCCACGGACTCCTTGCCCATACCCATATGTTCAAGGAGCATAGCACCGCATCGAATCATCGCAATGGGATTTGCCTTCTGTTGCCCTACAATGTCAGGAGCACTTCCATGGACTGGTTCGCACATGATGAATTCGTCTCCAACATTGGCACTGGGTACAAGGCCTGGTGACGTGTAAAGTATGGTTCACCAGTAAGCCACGAAGGTCACTCTGAGGTAATATGGCTCATTTGTGAGTGTAGTTCTATACAGTGGGCAATAACATGCACCTGCCCAATCACCGAGAATCAACTGCGATTTACGTCAAGGTTGATGATAAACAATGGGAAGGCATAAATGACCGCCGTATGACGGAACCCCGTGGATGTAAACGGTAGCCAACCCACAGTGCTGCGCTCCACAAATAGGTATGCGACACAGACTGTTTCCGATGTATTACTTAAATCGTACTCGAATAATAGTGTAGCAGGAAATATCGACTTAGAGAATGATATCAGGCCAATACACTCAAAAACACACACACACACATAGTTATATAATTATTTGTATATACGTATGTGCATATATACATATTCATAAAACAAGTAGAATTCAACAGACGAAATAAAAAAAGATACTGCGGCGGAATATGTCAGAAGGCACTGAACAAAAGACTTACCAAGGCCTCCGACAACAGCTGCGGCACCATCGCTAACGATATCTCCGTACATGTTGGGTGCAACGATGACATCGAAGTTCTGAGGATCTCTGAAGAGCCTAAAATGTTCAAAGAGTGGCAGAAACAACATTTAATGAACTGCGACTGCCTTTACAGAATACATACGACGCTAATAAAACCTCAAACCAAGCCCAGAAACACAACCGGTGTGCATAGTGGCCATGAGCAGATAGCGTCAACACTAACCTGTAAACCATAGAGTCAACCAGTTGCTCTTCAGTCTTGATTGAGTGAAGCTCAGATGCTTCAGCAACGGCCAGACACGATTCGCGGAATAGACCGTCAGTAACACTCAACACATTACTAGAAACGCGCAGCGCAGAGAAGAGAAGAATGTGGAGTGACGATTAGTTAGAATGGCGTCCGACAAAAGCAAAAGTAAGACCAAAAATCACTAGAAGGAGCGGAGCTAAAACGACATGGTTGACACTTGAATCTTATCATCGCGGTCATATTATATAACATATCGACACAACATACAAGCACCAGAGCGGAGAAAGCACACAGAGAAAGATAGAGAAGCGTATGGTCATACCTCTTGTGGACAATAGTGACCTTGCCCTGACGGTTGTGAAGAGATGCACGTTTGAGCGCCATTTGATACGCAAGCTTGGCTATTCTTTTAGAAGCGGCCTCAGTGATGACACGCTTCGCAACTGCACGCTTTCCAGTGGGGGTATCTATCGGAATTATGGTCAATGAATAATAATTAAAAATAAATATGCGTGTGACCGCAAATAGGATGCATTCTAGATCAGTCGAACTTTTAGGCTGCTACGCATACTAGGGTACATAAATCTGCTCAGCATCCCTGCAGAGCTGCAATAATTGCGTTCCATTCACGTCTTCTATAAATTGAATTGGGAGGGCTCGCATACCTTCTATTGTCTCATCCTTCACATATAGACACTCAGTATTCTCACGAATAATGAGGGCGTCGATGCCAGGCAGAGAACCGGGCACGGGGGAGGAAACGACTGGACGCACGTTAGCGTATAGGTCAAGCTTCTTGCGGATGGCAACAATGGGCGAGGAGTACCCTTCCACCTATATATTGATTAACATTTGCGTTATCAAGTGTAAGTAGCGTGTACAAGCTATTTAAAAAGTATGTCGGTACTAACAGCTTTTAGGTTGACGTGGGAGGCGACTCTGACCCTCGACCTGATGTCCGCAAAACGTGCCAGTGTTTTGTGTCTTTTTGATTCACTCCGCGTAGAACTACTCGATATAACAATTCATTCCATCACCTGAACCACAGCAAAAACAAATAGTCATGTGTCCTAGATCCTTAAACAATTTCAGAAGCCTTAAAATGCACGAAGTTTCATCGTGACCCGCCATACATACCCTGTAATCTTATTAATCTCACGTGCCAGGCAATTATCGAGGACAAAACTTTCACCCCACAGTATGAGGATAAAAAAGAGAACAACGGCGTCTTCTACAGATCAATTAATATCGAAGAGTAATGCATATTTGTATTTGTGCGGCTAAATACAGATTAAAATGTACTGTGTATGGTCGAGGATGTGATGCGAAGGAAACCCTGTCAAATCAGCTTAAAAAGTAAGCTCGATTTTTTCCATTTAATATATATATATATACATACACATACACATACACATATACATATACATACACACACACACACACACACACACACATATATATATATATATATATATATTTATACATAGATATACATATTCAATTTGAATCTTTAAATCTGTACAAAAGTCATAATTAAAGGATATAGTTATAAAGTAAATAAACATAACATACTGTACCACATCTACCAATTTATACAAGTTCGACTACATCCACTTGCACTTGACTTAAAAAACCATATAGAAAATTTTGCGCCGGTTGCAATTGTACGAATCTTCCATACCTTTAGCATGCAGAATGACAATAAAATAAAATATTCCTTGATATATAAATCCATGTGACTATAAGGTCTGGGTGATCCACTGAATGATACAGGAAATACGCCTATCAGTCCCAGTCAGTCTATACAATATAAAATTCATGAGAGTACCAATATTATATTTCCGTTATTCAGATCTCAGTCAGACTATAATGTACGTTTGTAACGTACACGTACATGCATAACGGAAACGGAAACAACTTGTAGAGGTACATCTGTAAGTAAAAATATGTGACCACACAGCAATAGCAACATACAATAGCCAGAACCAACTTACTTTGTGTGAAGGAGAACTGACAGCCCCAAACAAAAGGCCATCACATTTCTTGGCTGCTTCAACAGTCGCATCAGGAAGCGCAGTGCCGGTGCGTTCAAAGCATTCAAATCCCGCATCCAGATTCACATACTCGAAGGGGGCTTTTAGGGCTTCTAACACCTTCACAACACATGGCATCACTTCTTTACCAATACCGTCGGCAGGCAGAAGGCCGATTTTCTTTGTGCCTACGATTGTGTGCATTCCTTGGCGACCAACCATGGTGGCCTTTCCTAGGCGGAGTGCTTGTAGAGTGTTCATCGTGACTGTGCTTGTATGGTTAGCGAGAGGTGCTTGTATGGGGCAGTGAGGGTGTTTGGCGGTGGCTTCTCTACTCAAACGATTGTTTCCTAGTTCCACTCCATGGGAACGTACCTCAGCACAATATCCATTATTCCACGTCACACCGTTCCTCAATACCCTGGCATACTACAACCCTAAAAATGATTTTTATTTATTTTTATTTTTTAGTTTCCTTCTCGATTAACAATTTTGGTTTTTAA